CCATAGTCTGTTGTTTACCCTCCATAGTCTGTTGTTTACCCTCCATAGTCTGTTGCTTACCCTCCATAGTCTGTTGTTTACCCTCCATAGTCTGTTGTTCTCCCTCCATAGTCTGATGTTCTCCCTCCATAGTCCGTTGTTTTCCCTGCCCTTTCCTTTGGACATGGCAATAAATTAACTTTAATTTGGAATGGAATCAACATAAAGAAAAGAAAACCGTGTCTACTGATTGTGATCACTGAGGGGATGTCATGTTACCAGAAGTGTCCGTAGGGACTTGGCTTGGGAATCAGAAGGTCACCGGTTCAAGTCCCAGAAAGACCAAGTGCTACCAAGGTGTCCCTGAGCAAGGCACCGTTCCCTACACTGCTCCCCGGGCGCCGTACATAATGGCAGCCCACTGCTCCTAACACTAGGAGGGGTCAAATGCAGAGCCTCTTTTATGTCCCCTCTATGGGACGAATTAAGGTAGTCTAATTTATCAATAGCAGTGAAATTCCAAGATTCTCAATACCAAATCAATGTCATGCTAATAAACAAAAACAATGACAGTTTTAAGCGTCCTTGGCTTTCGTGAAAGGCGCTATATAAATCCAAGTTATTAATATTATTTAAAAGGGCTTTCCTACTATCATGCAATCTGTAGTCTATTCGTCTAAACATGCTGACACCCTGTGTGTCACACATCGTCAGGATTATACACCCACCTCTACGATGGCATCCACAGGACACGCCTCCTGACAGAAGCCGCAGTAGATGCATTTGGTCATGTCGATGTCGTAGCGAGTCGTCCTCCTGCTGCCGTCAGCACGAGTCTCTGCTTCGATGGTGATGGCCTGCACATGCACATGGTCAGACACAAAGAGACGCACTGACGGAGCTATTCTTTGATCTGGGGGAGTGTGTGTGTGTGTGTGTACCTGTGCAGGGCAAATGGCTTCACACAGCTTGCAGGCGATGCAGCGCTCCTCTCCTGAAGGATACCTGGTGTAACATCATCACAAAGACTTTGTTAAGCTGTTATGGACTGTGCTATGACTCCAAAGACAAATTAAGAAAAATGTCATTCTAAGCTTTGGCCAATATGCTTAACAAATTTAATCCATCTGGTTCCAAAAGTACGTTTTGTGTTGGGAGGTCATTATAAAAGCTAACCGCCCAATGAGCGCAGTGCAGAGGGATACCATTAGCTTTACATAGCACATAGTTCTTTGCTGCTATGCTAATGCCCTGAATGCCGCACATAGCTTTAAGCTAGCAGTTGCGAAACCGGGGGAGGCTATCCCTGCACATGTGGGGAAAGTCAATGTGATGACAATGACCTTGCAATAAAAAAACAAGGGGGTCATCCTCACCTGCGCAGTGCGTGTTCTCCTCTGAAGCGGGGGGACAGGGGCCCTTTCTCAAACGGGTAGTTGATGGTGGCGGGCTCTCTAAACAGGTAGCTCATTGTCATGCCAAGACCTGACATCACAACACAATCAGTCATGTTTGAATGAGAAGAGAACATCCATCAAACTGACACAGATCACAGGGACAGATAGCATATCTGTGGAAAACAGCTCCATTCGATCACATTAACTGTGTACATGCATTAACCTTCACAGGAGACATTTTTACATATGACCATGCTGAGCTGACCTCTGAAGAGCTCCGTCCACAGCAGAGTCTGAGCCGCCCGGTCTGTGATGGACTTCATGTCTGTGGGGATGTCTTTGGCATTGACATACTCTGCACACACAAACACAACAGGTGAGCTGCTTATACTGTGTTGGGAGTACGTTCTCCATGCCCATCAGATTGATCAAATAGTTGAAAAATAAACAAATATGACCTTATTTACACAGACATTTTATTTTTGAGAAATTTGACTTAGAACTTGCTTGTTATTATCCTTTTAGATGATGCAATTAAGAAACTGCATATCTCAATTTATGATTTCACAATACAATACCATTGAAAGATGATCAATTGAAGTATTGCCCTAGCTCTTTCCCATTATTCTGGCTCTGAAAGCTTCTCCTTCAGAAACAAATCAGGATGCTACATGCTAAGCTAAGGCCAAGACCAGGTGAAGCAGCTTTATTACGATTTTAAAAATTAACAATCAGCGATGTAACCTTTGCAAGTTGCTGCAATTAGGGTAGTGTGACATGAGCTTATATTCCTAGAACTGCTAGAAATGAGTACATCGGTAGAGATTCTGCAATACCTGTCCTGCAGCAGCTAATCTCGTGTAATCTCAAGATTCATGCTTTCTCTTGCCATATCACAATATGGCCTATCCAGCTGCCTCTCAAGGTGACATGATTTGTGCAGATGGGGGAGGAGAGTGACTTTGTACATTTAGGATAAGGAAGATCTCTGTTTATGATTACCAGCCATTGCAGCTTTTTTGTCTGCTTTTTTAAATGAAAGATGAGAAAAAATCTCGTGTATTTTCTTTACTTTTGTTGTACCCCAAAGGACACATGTGTGATTTGTATATATCGCTCCATCTATAACGTCAGAATGTTAATTAATGGTGAACCTTCAAAATGTGAAATAATTAAAATGATTGTTCTCAACAACCCTTAAGCTTCTATTTTAAAATAAATTGGTTCTGTTTTGAGTTCTATTTACAAGTAAGGCCCAGACTGAAAATATAAGGATGATAAGTATTAAAGGATACTTTATATACACACACACACACACACACACACACACACACACACACACACACACACACACACACACACACACACACACACACACACACACACACACACACACACAGACACACACACACACATTCTCTCTCTCACAAAGACAGACACACACACACACA